TTTAGCCTTCTCATCTTCAAAACCAAGTGCAGCCAGTATTTTGTGCCCTGCAGCTTCCTTTTCTGACCAAATACCAAGTAGTAAATGTGCTATTGTAACTTCTCCACTTTCACCTGCTTTTACATTATAATCAGGCAAACAACTTTACAAAAAAAAAAAAAAAAGGGAAAGTGCAACATCATGACTCATAAAAGTAAAGCCAACACAATGCCATATATAAGGCAAAGGGAGAGACTGACAATCAAAACATAAAGTGATTGGCCAGGCGATAACAGATAATGGAGGCAGTTTAAGTTTTGTCATTCATCACGCCAGGGCAGAACTCATTCACAATAACTATTAAAAAACATCCACATACCAAAACAAGGATACTTAATCACATTTCCACCAAGACACCAAATTTCTTTCGGAATATTCATCATTACCTGGGATTTAGAATGAACTAGATCAGGATGCAGCTTCTTTTGCCAGTCATTGTACTTCCCTTCTAATTCATCCACTTCAATGTTGAATTTCCTTTCCCTGTGAAGGAAGCGATTGCAAAGAAGTCTTCTATGTATCATGATTATTTAGAACATATAAATTATTACAATAATCCATTTTCCTCAATAGAATAATTTCCTCATTCTAAACCAGCAACAGAGTCTAATTAGGCAATGATAGCCATTGCACAGGGCAACAGAAGATAAATATTATGCACAAATGTCTCCTGGACATTGTTATAGTTTTAGACAAGTTACATAAAGCACTAATATTACCAAATCAATATTGCAATGATTAAATGATGTAACAGATAATTATACAATTATGTAAGTAATGGACAAGGACTACCTGATTTCAATTTTTCATCTAACGCCCAATCAAGAGCCCTTTGAGCTGGTTCAGTCAAGGGACGATGCTCGGGACTGAAAAAATACACGTCAGATTTTCCAAGCAATTTCAAAGTTTCTTCTCTCACCTTGAAAAGTGTAATACCATTTTCCCCTTTTTGAGGATAAAATATCATCAGTTTCAATTCACATGCTTACACCATAAAAAGTAAACGAAAACATAATAAAACCTTTCAAGGTTTCCGAGGATTGTTTCATCAAACTTTAGATTTATTATTATAAGAAAAAACAGATTGATTATTAGAAGTAGCTCCCTTACACTACCTTCTTTATCTTGCAAACCTCCAGCCCTACGCCACCAAAGAATAGTTAAAGTCTTTATCTTGGAAGACGGATCCTGTTGATCAGAAATTCTTAAGCAAGTCAAACTCTCTTTATAGCAAGAATGAAACCCACAAACCATGGCTACAGATACATGGATTTGATACCAAGATGCCGTGTAATGCAAAGTGGCACTGATGTTCAATATAAATCCTCCACTAGATGAGTCCCTTCCAGGTCCAACTTTCTTAAGATACTTGAGTGCTTCATGACACATTGTAAATCCCACCAAAACGCTTGATAGTTGCTTCCACTACTCTTTTTGCATCCTCCCGTTTTCGAACATCTCCTTAATTGGTTAATTACTACTGCTCAGAATATAACACATAAATAGCATTATTTCAACAAGCACTACCATTTTCCCTCACAATTGGCTTAAATTAAATTAAAACAAGAAACAATAATTGGTTTTATTGAGGATAAACCCACCCCCTTCACACAAGATCTTATTCCACATCTTCACTTCACCCATAGCTTGCATTTTATGTCAATCATATTACAACTCAATATCGATAATTATCTCACATTACAATCATAGTTAAATTTTATAAATCATAAGATATAATCGCAAACTGAAATTAAAAAAAGGAAACAAAAAAAATCTACCAGAGATTCAAGGTGTTTACCTATAGAGGCTCTCAGATCTCAAGCAACGCATCGACCGCTGCAATGAACGCTCAATAATTCCCCACAGCCACCTCCTGCATCTGCCTCCGAATTCTCTTCGTATCTACCCTCAATAGCTCCGGCTCCAGCGGAGGCTCCGGCTCCAGCTCAAGCTGTGGCTGCGGCGGTTATAGCCTCAAATCCGACTATGGTCATGGGTTAGGTACCTAGAATTGATCTTGGCCTTGAGGTCCTCCATTTCGTGCTCGAGCTCTTCCTCCGCAACGTCGGCCACTGGATCCTTCTTCTTCGTCTTCACCTGTGTGTTGGAGAAAAAGGGAACGAGACGGCACGGATCGGGATTGGTATTGTGTGATTAGGTTTTTTATTTGGGTTAGTCGGGTGGAATTGAATGGGTTAGACCCAAATTGCTATAACAATTAACGACAAGATGTAATGATCGTTGCGAAAAGATTAATGACAACGTTCAAAAGCGCGTTGCTAAAAAGAATTAACAACAACGTGCAATAAACGCTGCGAAAAGGTTAATGACAACGTTCAATGCGCGTTGCTAAAACATTCAATGGCAACGCGCATTGCCTGTTGCTAAAAGCAATTAACATTGCGCGTTGCTAAAACATTAACAGCAACGTGCATTGCACGTTGCAAAATGAAAATTAACAGCAACGGATTTTGAACGTTGCAAAAGGGTGTATTAGCAACATTCTTTAAAAAAACGTTGCTAAAACTCAATTTAGTCAACCAATAGCAACATACACTTACTGAATGTTGTCATAAATCCCTTTTAGCAACATACAATTGATGAATATTGTCTTTTGCATGTTGCAAAAGGCTTTTTTTCTTGTAGTGTTTGTTACGATCGGTCATAATTAACACAAATTTCACTACAGAGGGTCACCACAAATAAATTCACACCACTAGGGACCAACATCACAATCCACCACCATCGACTACCACCGTTACCACCAATGCCTACCAATACCCCTTTCAACTCAAATCCATGACCATAAATACTACATTCACCTCAAATACACAACAACGATCACCACCACCATCCCTTCCACCTCCACCTTAAATATATCACACCCTCTACCTCCAATTCAAATCTAAGTGAAATAGTCAATAATTGTAGCTAGCCAACCCCATCAATTTAGATCTACACAAATGAGAGGAACCAAGAAAACATATCTAGTTGATGTCGCTAACGAGAGGAATATATAGTTAAGAGAGAAATTTTTCTCATTACGTTTAGTGAGAGTTTGAAGAACAAAGAGAGTGAGAGTTGTTTATTTGTATATATGAATACACGTATAACAAATAGGGGTGACGGTGGTGCGGTGGGAAGTAGGGGAGGTATTAATTAATTGATAGTTTTTAGAGCTTGTTTGTCTCCCCATTATTGGGAGAAAATTAGTGTAATGAATAGTAATTTTTGGAGAATGTGTGGTTGAAAATTAAAGTAACTTTATTGGTTTGTGTGTAGAATATTTTATTGAATGAACGTGTGGTGGAGAATCTTACTGTAGCAAACAATTTTTTGGATTAATGGTAGACAAACATGGGCTTAATTGTCACTAGATTTATGAATTTAAAACTAATCCTCCTTGTCTTTGAATAGTATACTTAAGATGTAGGATTTTGGGTAATTTCCCTAAATTTGCACATTATATTGTTGGACCTTCCGTGATTGCACCCACATATAATCAAAACCCATCTACAGAAAAAGTCTCATTCACAAGAAGGATTTAACTTGGGGGGCCCACCAATCACTAGCCTCTTTAACTTTTTATTTTTCGACTTTATAGATGAATGTTGTCTTTTGCATGTTGTAAAAAGCTTTTTTTCTTGTAGTGATATCACCTCATTCTTCTCTTACTTTAAGATTTTTTGAGTATATGTGCCCGTGCGAAACTATCTAGGCTTTGAGAAAATGTCTCTAAGACACTCCATTTATAATAAGAATATGCTACAAATTTTTAGAAGTTAATAAGCCCTTTCTATTAATCTAATTATTGGTGAAATACTAGCCAAGCATTTCCTTATGGTAGTACATAAGACAACCAAGATGCTTCTTTAGGCTTTGATACTGAGATATTTTGACTTTTTCAATAAATGTTATTGGCATTCAAAGGTGATTATCATTCAAATTCTTTATTTTTGTACTGAAAAAAGATTTATCATATTTTTGGTACTTAATAATATTGAACATGGATAAGATTTTAATAATATTGTAAAACAAAATACAAATAAAGATTTTAATTTCTTATTTGCCTGTTATTTTTTAATATCATATACTAAACATGCCTTAATTAACTGCTTGATGCACGTACATTGGGTGATTTTAATTCACTCAATGTTTTAATTTTTTGAAAAAAGATGGCTAATTTTAATTTTGTATAACACAACTTTCAAAATATGAAAATTTGTATGACACAACTATTATATAAGAAAATACAAGACCTGTTTGTTTTCCATTATTTTAACGGAAGAATAGATTTTTTGACATTTTTTTCAAACAAATGGGTCCCACTGTAAGACTAACTTGTCAACAAAAATTGATGCTTCACATTGCAACGGTACAAATTTTCATTAAAATCGAAAACAAATAGGGGTATAAAAAATTCGTATGACACAAGTATAATTCGTAGATTGGTCAGTATCACGAGGTCTTGAGTCACCAACCAGGACATGGCTGAGCATAATGTCGTGGTAAGTTTTTGGCCATACTTATCTACCTACTCTTGTCAAGTTGGGTATCATCAAGTTCTTGACTCACTTTTTTTGTCATAAAAATTTTAGTATTAATGACAAAAAATATTTGTATTGAAAGTTATTCAACGACTTTTTTTATGAAACAACTAAATATTGACATAAAAAGGACATAGAATTAATTGGTGGATGAGAAGGTAGATAGCACAAGCTTTAGGCCATACCAAACTTTCGCCCTTGGAAGCGACTGACTGCAAGGGCGTGTTCAGAAGACATAACTTATTCGATTTTGAGCCTAAAATTTTATTTACTTGTAAGTAATTTTTTTAAGCTTATTCAAAAACAAGTACCGAGTTCCCAACTTTTACTGCTATAAATATCCACCATCCACCGATCAACATATACAAAAGTTTCTGTTAGAGCCTTGAACAAAATTGCTGATTCGAATTAAGCATGGCTATTCACTCCCATATTGGTGTTCTAGCTTTCCCTTTTGGCTCACATGCTGCTCCTCTCCTTACCCTTGTTCGACGACTAGCGGCGGCCTCATCGTCAAGAGACATAATATTTTCTTTCTTCAACACGGAAAAATCCAATTGCGCGATTTTTTCGGGGCAGGAGTTTGACAACATAAAAGCATATGACGTGTGGGATGGGACGCCTGAAGGAGAAGCTTTTTCCGGTAGTCATTTCGAGGCGATGCAATTGTTCCTTAATGCAACGCCTGGTAATTTTGAGAAGGCTATGAAAGAAGCAGAATCGGAAAGTGGTATGAAAATAAGCTGCTTATTGACTGATGCCTTCCTTTGGTTTGCCTGTGATATGGCTGAGGCAAGGAGGGTCCCCTGGGTGGCCTTTTGGACTGCTGCATCTTGCTCTCTTTCAGCACACATGTACACAGATCAAATTTGGAGCATGCTGAGATCAATTGGTAAGTTTTTAAATGATACATTTGGTGTCTAATTCGCTTCACCTTCGATAAAAAATTATTAAACATGACTAGAAAGTATAATTGACAATATTTTTTACGAATTTCTTTCTTTTTCTTACTATTAAGGGATAAATTTTACATTGAATAAATATAAAAGGATTTGGGATAGCCCCAACTCAGGTCTTGATATGGTAAGCTCAAACGATCATTAGGTTTTCAAGATTCGTATGGTCCAACCAGTCGCCATTTTATATGAACATATTAAGGAATAAACTCTCTAAATGAAGATGACCTTTTAAAAGAGAACCCAAATTTGAATACTAGTTAGTGTTGCTAACTAATCCAGAAATTCACGTACTTTTAAAGCTTTTTCAAACATGATGTTTTCTTTCATTCCATTATGTCCAAAAATTGCAAGCAGATGCTGCAGAAAGAGAAGAAAAAGCTTTAGCTTTTGTACCAGGAATGTCATCAATACGTTTCAGCGATTTGCCTGGAGAAATCCTACCGGAAAAGTCAGAATCCCCATTGGCAATCATGATTTACAAAATGGTACAGAAGTTACCAAAGTCAACTGCTGTTGTGCTCAACTCCTTTGAAGAAATTGATCCACTAATCACAAATGATCTGAAATCAAAGTTTCAGAATTTTCTCAATATTCACCTTTCAATCCTCAGTGGAGATCCTCCTATCCTCAGTGGAGATTCAGGCCAGGAATGCCTGTCGTGGCTCAAAAAACAAAGACATGCATCAGTTGTATACATTAGCTTTGGCACAGTAACGACACCACAACCTGAAGAACTGGCTGCATTGGCAGAAGTACTTGAAACTGGTGAATTTCCTTTTCTTTGGTCAATGAGAGACAATGCCAAGAAACTTCTACCAGAAGGGTTTCTCAACCGGACAAGCAAATTTGGAATGATCGTGTCATGGGCTCCGCAGCCGAAAGTTCTCGAAAATCCTTCGGTTGGAGTATTTATAACTCACTGTGGGTGGAATTCTGTCTTGGAGAGTATATCAAGTGGAGTCCCCATGATTTGCAGGCCTTTTTTTGGTGATCAGAGTTTGAACAGCAGAATGGTGGAGGCTGTATGGAAAATTGGAGTCGGGCTTGAAGGAGGGGTTTTCACCAAAAATGGAACAATTGAAGCTTTACATTATATAATGTCAAATGAGACAGGCAAGGCAATAAGAGAGAACATAAATAAGCTTAAACAGAAGGCTGAAAATTCTGTTAAATTAGATGGGAGTTCAACTAAGAATTTCAAAGCATTGTTAGAATTGCTCAAAAGTTCAACGGGGGTTTGAATTTGATCCTTGTATTCATTTCAAAATAAATCATATATACTTTGTGTTCCTCCTGTTTCAACTCTTGCTATGAAATCTAATAGCGACGCTAAATCTGACAACGAGCCTACCAAATATCACACGCAACATATGATGACGAGGAATGTCACGAGATCACATGAGATATAATTTCCGTTACGGGTTAAATTATCACTTTACTTTCCATTGATTATACGTCAGCTTTTGCGTCCCTCCTAAATTTGTAAGTAAATACTCCGCACTTCAATCTGTGTTTTTCTGCTTTCTTCTACGACATATCTCTCTAATCTTTGCTTTGGTTTCCAATCGCTTAAAATGTCTAAGGGTCTGTTATCTTTATCATTTTTAAACTGTTTTGTGTTTTCGATTTTTCAAAACAGTGAAAAGGCGTTCTCTTTCCTATTTTCGAAAACGCGTTTTTGAAAACAAGTTAAAAATTTACAAAGAAAACCCAAAACGACAAATTTGTCATTTTGAGTGTTTTCAGTTATAATCAAGTCAAAATTTGCAAAACGCGTTTTGAGTGTTTTCAAAATGTCAAAGATAACACATTTTCAACAATCTCAAAATAGACACTTAAAACACAAAATTCAAAATGAATTTAAAACTCAAAATTGAAACACAAAGATAACAGCACATAATGTTTTGTTTGTGCTCTCTTGAGGCATAATAAAATCCTCTCAATTTTTTCCCATTTCTAATAACAGAGAAGAAAAACAAAATTGTACGTATACCACTTGAATCTGAAACAACAGAGTTCGCTAGTCACGATAACAAAATAAAAACCAAGTATAATAAAATAGTCCAATTCTCTTAGAGGTATAAACTGTCAATGTTAAGTAATGTACCAACCCCATCCGTTGGACCTTTAAATGCCCATAAATTGAGCCACCTACCACCACTTGGAATTACACATACTACCAGCCACCTTACATAAAAGAATGGTTGTTGGGAATGGTAGCTGCATCTTGCCGAAATAACTAGTGATCTGTGGGTTACAAGCGATGGTAGTAGCATTATTTGCGTTTTCTGCCATACATGTATTTAAAAGTTGTTTAAAAGCGCACAGATAAAGCTACTAATTTGCACTTTTTAAGCTTAACCTATAAGAGCTCTCACTTTCCAAAAACTAGACTTGACATGTGCCCTATGCTTCAAATACACACAAAATCATCCTGGTGCAACCTGTGAGTGTTCTGTGGGGGTTCTGTGAGAACCCCCTTGTACACTCAGCTTTCCTCAATTTTCTATACCAAGGATGGTAGCTCAAGCAGTTGTTTGGTCTTGCCACCATTTATGATATGCAGCACATATCCCTCATGTTTACTGACGTCATTGCAATATTTCTTGTCCTAGATTGTGCAAAGATGAAAATGAAGATGTGTAGTGGTGACGCTATTCACTCTATTTAAAAAAGAGTAAGACACGATACGTTATGAAAATATTCTATAAAGTTATAATTTCTTTATATAAGTTCAATATTCAATATTTAAAAAAGCTATTTGATATCAATTAAAATTCTAACCACTAGTTGAGGCTAAGAGTTACAACATGTTTATTAAATTTAATTTATAGTTAAAATTCGTAATTAATTTAATCCTTATAAATTGCAGGCGAGAAAAGAAAAGTTTTCTATAAGTTTGAGTAAAATTTCACCGTAAAGATACCTTCTCTACAAACCACCACCTCCGGAAGTCATCATGTTCACCGGAACCACCGCAAAGTTGGGCAGTGGCCTTGGGCCTCAAGGTAGAAGGGGGCCTCAAAAATTTTTTGAAAGCCCAAAGCAATTATCCCTTTTGAAATGTGCAAATCACACGCAGTACTAATATAAATTTTAATTTCAATTTTACTACTCACATTTTTTAATTCTGAAAGTACATTTAAGGGCAAAATGAATAATTTTTCATTTTTAATAAATAAAAATGACATAAATTAGCTTGATTATTGGAATATTTCAGTACTAATTAACGGACAGTTTAAGGAATTAAGGAATTTCAAGAAAATTAGTTAGTTACAATAAAATATTTTTTGTGTTGTTTTATATAATATGTATTATATATGATATATAAATTTTTTTGTAGTATATCATAAAATATTTTAATTTAATGGGTAAATATGATTTTTCCTTCTTGAACATGAAAATTGATCGTCGAACGAATCAAATGGTGATGAGCGAGTACCATAGGTCTAATGTTTCCCATCATGAAAAATTGTTTAATTCAACCGCGTTGGATGCTACTACCCTCGTAAAAAAATTATGCGTAGAGGTCTCATAATAATTTTTCGTCTAGGGCTTTTTCAGGGTAGGCATTGCTATTACTGTATGAGAAAGCGATTGGCTTCTATTCTAGTTGGGATTAGATATAGAGTAAGAATCAAGAAAGCGTAGTAGTTTGCCAACCTTTCTAATTAACATTAGTTTGTTTTGTTTTACTAATTCAGGTGTTTGTCAAGAATTGAGAAAGAGGGCTATTACTGTAAATTTATGTTTTGATTTGAACAATATTCTTAAAGTAATAAGTAGACATGCTTAAGCTATGTTTTAAATTTGTACGTTGTAATTTGTGTTGTACAAGCATACGTGCAATTCTAACAAATACTGCAATGAATCGAAAGTTCAATATCCAGAAAATTTTATTATTTGACATAATCGGTTAGACCATCTCGAATTGATAATAATGTGAAAAATAATTGAGAGTGTCTATTGAAATATTAGAAGATTTTTCAATAAAATGAGGTTTTGTCTAATCCCGAAAAATTGGGTAATACTCGTCTCGTCGGATTTTCCTACAAAGTTTTTAATGAAGCAATTTTCATAACATATTCGAAAGGATAATGTACTATTATTCGTTCACAGGGGTCTTCCTATAAGGTTTATTTAAGTAAGGTTTAATAATGTATATTCTTTGTTTAATAGATATTCGGAGGAAAATGTTCAAAATATTGAAGCTATGAATTTTCATAAAGTTTAAGACATTTACGCTCCTAACTTTATGATTTTATTATCATGTGTTACAAATTATATACGAGATGCTAAAGAGAACAACAAGAACATATATTCCCAATATAATTGCATCAGATCTTGATCACTACAGTCAACCAGTGATAAATGAATGTTTTGTATGAAGATCATACTACTTGGATACTATAACAAGATAATAGCACGTAAAATTTTGCATTAGAATTGTGGCATTGAATATAGAACCATACTACAAGTATATAATCATTTACATAATACATTACATAATTTACATATGTCGCGCATCCATCGGTAATCTACAATTTTTGACTTTTCCACACTTCACATCCAAGGTCGAATTTCTTCCACATGGGCCTATGTAATCCATTATGTACAATAATTATGTACATATAGATTTATCCTTGAATATATTGGAGCACAAGATTTGGATCGTTCAATGCAAGTATTTATTGGTTGAAATAAAGTGAGAAGTTGTATTTTTTTCTTCATTATTATATAAAACTTGCAACCCTAATCATAACATACAAATATTGGGAATTTGTTCTCAATAATAAATACAAGAATTTTGATTTTCTCTATTCTCCTAAGGAATAATGCTATGTAGCTCCGCTGAAGTTGCAACACCAGTCTAGAAGGCGTTAGTTGATATGCTAAATGAAAGGTGGTTAAATGAGTCATTTAATGCCACATTGACACCAATTAAATTAGGGTTGTAAACTCAGTGGGGCTAAATAGCATTACTCTCTTCTAAGTCATGATATATCTTGCATTTAATGCATAATTTGACAAAAAATTAAGAGCTTTTAATATTGGAAATGAAAAATGTCAAATAAGAATAAGGTTCGATATTCTTTGAAATGTTGAAGAATTTTTTTGTATTGTAAAGCATAAACATGGACCCATTGAGTGGGAACATAAATCTTTAATTTGACTAATAAATTTGAAGTTATCATTATATGATTTAAATTTTTATCATAAACAATTTTAAGAAAGAAAAACAGCAATTTGATATATATATATATATATATATAGACACACTTAATTATTTGATATTAACTATTAAATCTTGGAATCCATTTTCAAATGTCTACAGTGTAGCCCGTACACTTATACATTAATTAATATTTTCCTATTTAATTTATGCGAGATTATAGTCTTATGCCCTGTTTGGGAGGGATTAGATTTTTCTACAGTAAATCAATTCTCATTTTCAACCACACATTTTTCCATAAAATAATATTTTCCATTACAACAATAATTTTTTCTTCTTTTTCAACCACACATTTCTCATCATATCACTATTCAAAATCAATTTTTTCCCCCAAAAATCTCTCACAAACAAGCTCTTAATATTAACAAATTCAATCTCAAATGAAAATCTCTTTTATTTAATGATAGATAATTGATTCGTTGCATTCGTAGTTGTGATTTAAATTATTTACAAAATATATTTAACAATTGTTGCAAGTCAATAATGGTTCTTAAATTCCACAATTGTGATTGAAATTATATGATTGAGATTGGAAAGGACATTAAATTTTGTGAAATCATTACCAGATTGAAAACAAAATTGAAATTTCAATGATGAATTTTAGAAAATAAAATGTTAAGTGAGCAAAAGGATAAAATATTTCGAACTTGAGTAACATATTGCCCCTTTATACATTCCCTTTTTCTTTTCTATTCAAAAAGTAAGCATAAAGTTTGTATTTCTAGAAATCTTTATATCGTGCCTCATCGCCATCGTTTTGGACTTTCTCTATTGCTGCTTTTAGAAGACATGGATTATATATAAAATTAAATTGCTGCTAATAAAAATATAATAGTGACAAGAAATTGCATGTTTGATGTGCCAAGACAGTTCAAAAAGAGAGGGAATTTAAAATTTGAGCATGTTTAGAAGCTTCTCTTCATCAATATTTTCACATTTAAGAGATGCGAATATATGAATCGGAAGAAAAGACTTTCGAATTCAATTTTTTTGAATATCCACATTCGATTTCAAGTAGTCGAGTACGAGCTCCAAACTTACCAAAACATTTAAAGAATTTGAGAGTAGTCGATAGTTGCTAGTAGCTTTTTCAGAAACATCTGGCCCCTATTGATTCCAAGTTGTGCTTAAACTTTACTTTTTTAAGAGAGTGATTAAGAGAAAAAGGAAGAAATTTTGAGAATGATGTCTGACGAATTAAGTTAAAAAGTAAGTTTGAGATACTTTTAAACACAACCAAACACCCTGTTTGCTTCCGTGTGCTCTAGTATTGCGTGCTCAATGTCATTATGACTAAGCATTTCAAACTTCAAATACTATCTTCCAGAAGAAATGAAAAGCATTACTTAATTTCATAAATGATATGATCTTGCACTAGAATAATTCATCATGTCATTTTCATACATTAGATCTTTTCCTCGCTTTTCTTTCTCTTCCAATTTTATATGTATGTACCATTTATCTTATATATTCATGTATTTTTTTCCAACATAACACACCATTTTTCTTGTAGTTTTTTTCCTCCAGAACTACTCTCTCTTAAAATGGTTGATAATGCAAACATTCAAGATCAAGAGTCAATAGCAGAAGAACTAGATGAAGCCATTTCCCTTTGTGATTTCCCTATGAACACAGATGAAAATGATCAGATCGTCAAAAACCTATCCGAGAATCATGATATGCAACCATCGCCGTCCAATTTCTTTGAATTTTTCAGTGATTTAAGCTCTGAAATGTCTCATGCGGAAGAAATTATTTTCTGTGGTAAGCTCTTTCCTTACAAATACCAACCTGTTAATGTTCTTGAAGATATTCAGAAGCATCCCGTTGGAGATGATGAGAAATCAAAAGGGATTGATCGACGAAGATGTCAATCGTTGAATGAGTTGAAGATCATGAGATCAAACGATACAAACTCCGGGCTACTCCGAACCAGCAAATCTTTAGGGTTTAGGCCCTCTAGGGCAATAAAACCAAGATGGAATGCTTTCATGTTTGGGGGTGTAAAATTTCCACTCGAGATGGATATTCAAGATATAAAAAACCGGCAGATTCGACGCAGTACAGGGGGTATTTTTCCTTGGATTGATGTCGGAGAAAAGGCTCCGGTGCGCCAGAATGATCGAAGAAACACTTGGGGTTTTGATCTGCTAAGTGTGTTAAGTTGCAGGAACCATGCAAATGTAGCTGTGAAGGCTTCAATTGGTATCATGCCTACAAAATTGTAATCACGTAACATCCTTCATTTCAATTAGAAGTTTAAATTATTAACGAAACCTCATATTTACTTATATGAACGTTGTCTTCTACACGCCTCCTCATGAAGCAATCCAAAATTTATTTCACGGCTTGACGTGTGATAATATTTTATAAATAAATGACAATAAGTGTTTTATCTAATTCTAATATCATGTTAACACTGTCATCTAAAAACTAAGATATTAATAAAAACGAGTAAATGTTGCATTTTTTTTTATTTGTAGGAGTATCCTAAAAGAATCTAAATAAAAAAACATGTCATTGTTAAAACTTTGAACCATGCTACAGTGCCCGCGTGGTTGATCGCGGGGATGACCACACACACAAGAGGGGGTCAGATTATTTTATTCGGGGGTGGGACCCGCGCCGAGGTTGTGAGTGTGCGGTCATCCCCTCAATCACCGGTGCGGATCGTTTAACATTATTCTAAAACTTTACCTTGAAGGGAAGATATTGTACAGTTGTGGTAGAGCTATAGGCCCTTTTTGTCTTCTATGGTAGGATGGGAGCCATTATATCAATAAAGATCAGGAGGGCCCCTTGATACAAATCATGATGGTAAATAAATTATAATTAAATAAAAGGAAAATTTATAATTTATGTCGACAAATTATTGTTAAATTGTTTAATCTAAAAATTGAACTAATACATATTGAACAAATAATGCTAACACCTACATTAATTTTCTTAAACTTGTATGAGTCAAACTTCATAAACTTGGAACATTTATATAGTAAAACCATATAAATTACATATATTGTTAGAATTGGGGTATGATACGAATTCTTTATTGAAAATAATTGAGAGTTCTAATTAAAGTGCTCATTAATAACACTTGTAGAATAACTGGTATTGGTTGGGTCGGAATAAAGACGTTTGATGGAATAGTCATAGCACTTGATGTAATGAGACACGTTCCACATATGGAAAAAAATCTTATCTCCTTAAATACTATTAATTCAAAAGGGTATAGGTACTATTGAATGTGGAGTTCTGAAATTTATCAAAGAAGCCCATGTTGTGCTGATGGGATATAGAAAATTCAATTTATATATCTTGCGGGTGATACATAATTTTCGAATAATCAACATATTTTAAAAACTCAGGTGGATTTAGAATTGGTTTCTATACCATTGGAGTCTAATTTAGAGTCTTCTTTTAAGAATACGTCCTAGTTGAATTTTGAAGATATGTGTAAATCCATCTTGTCACCTTATTGATGGTGTCATATTCAATTGCTAGAAATAAACCTGTTTTTTGCCATAAGATTCCACATAGGTTTTTGTAGATGGTTTAAATGCGGTTAAGAGTGTTGATTTTAACCAAAATCCTTCTTTTAATGCATTCAATCGTGATTCTGTTACAAGGTTTGTTTTAGGCTTGTTTGGTAGTCATTAAATGACTTTTGCCCTTAATTAGGGTAGTAGGGGTGAAGAATATTTCCAATTTAAATTTTTTTATAGAGAATTTCGTTTGTGTTTTTTGCTGGAGAGTTCAAGTTTATTTCTTGCAGTTGAATTTATCTTTTATTAGAGAATTTTTGAAGTTTTGTTTATTGCAGTGAATTTCGTGTTAAGATGGAAATTGTTAGAATTTTGGTGTGATCCGAATTCTTTGTTGAATATAATTGAGAGTTCTAGTTAAAGTGGACATTAAGAAAAAATTCTATTTGAAATGCTATTATGAAATCTTATTCAAGTTTACTTCGCGATTTCTAATTGAAGTTCTACTTTAAAAAATATTAGGAGTAGGAATTTGTGTTAAACTTGAAGAGTACATTGGGATGAAGAAAATCAAGATTTTTGAAGTAAAGAACTCGAGAATGGGTATCACGACACCATGACAATTTTGGCACGGCGCTGTAGCAATGATATGTGAAAATATTTTATATATAAATGACAAAATTTAAACTCAAGTATTTTATCTAATTCTAATATCATGTTAACACTCTTATCTAAACACTAAGATATAAATAAAAATGAGTAAATGTTGCATTTTTTTTATTTGTCGGAGTATCCCAAAAGAATTCAAATAAAAAAATATGTCGTCGTTAAAACTTTACCTTGAAGGGAAGATATTGTACAGTTGTGGTAGAGCTATAGGCCTTTTTGGAGTAAAGAACTCGATAATGGGTGTCGCGACGCCATGATAATTTTGGCCCGACACTGTAGCAATGATATGTGATAATATTTTATATATAAATGACAATAAAATTTAGTTTTATCTAATTCTAATATCATGTTAACACTCTCATATAAAAACGAGTAAATGTTGCATTTTTTTTTTTTTTTTGTTGTAGGAGTATCCTAAAAGAATCTAAATAAAAAAAATCTATCATTGTTAAAACTTTACCTTGAAGGGAAGATGTTGTACAGTTGTGGTAGAGCTTTGTCTTCTATGGTAGGATGGGAGCCATTATACCAATAAAGATCAGGCGGGCCCCTTGCTGCAAATCATGATGGTAAATAAATTATAATTAAATAAAAAGAAAATTTATATCGATTTATGTCGACAAATTACTGTTGAATTGTTTAATCTAAAAAATTAACTAATACATATCGAACAAATAATGCTAAACATTAATTTTCTTAAACTTGTATGAGTCAAACTTCTTAAACTCTGAATATTTTTGTCCATTTTTAAGCCCTTTTTTATTATCGATTTTTCAAAATAGTAAAAACGCGTTCTCTTTCTAATTTTCGAGAACGCGTTTTTGAAAACAAACTAAAAATTTACAAAGAAAACTCAAAACGACAAATTTGTTATTTTTTGTGTTTTCAGTTTTCATAAAGCCAAAATTTTCAAAAAGTGTTTTTGGTGTTTTCAAAATGGCAAAAAGAACATATTTTCAACAATTTTAAAATGGACACTCAAAACACAAAATCTAAAATGAATTCAAAACTCAAAACACAAAACTGAAATATAAAAAAAAACATCCCCTTATCTATCTAAAACCATATTAATTACATATATTTTATAATTACGTACTAAAGTCAATTTCAGTGTCTGCTAATGGGTTGTTCGGTTTATTTTATTATCCTTTTGTACTAAGTTTATTTAATTATCTTGAACAAGTTGGTTCTGATAATACATATTTATTTTAATGCTATTGCATGACAACGTAGTCAAACATAAAATAGATGAATTATTATACTAGTTGGAGGGTCATAAGTCGACCTCTCGTGCATGTAAAAAGTTTCCAAGTGGTTAGATTTCACAAGATTTGACAATCTACTTAATAATTTTTTATTCATATTTGTTATTTAGGGAATGCTGATGGATATTATTGAGAAAAAATATATTTTAAACAGTGATATGATAGAAAATATGTAATTAAAAAGTAAAGAAAAGTTATTGATGTGATTGAAAATATTATTTTATTGAAAAATGATTGGTTAAAAATGAATTTTGAAAGAATTTGTGTCCAACAAGGGCTTAATATGTCGATATGACATTTGAAATTATTGACAATTTTTTGTCAAGGACATCTAGAAAAGAGCGAATCTTTAACACTCGTGTGTATGTGACATAAATGTGTGTTAGTGCTCACAATGATGGAAAAGAAGTATTAACTGATTTAATTTTGACGATCAACTTTGCTTATGAAAATTATGCACTATAAATAAAAGAGTAATATTATTTAGTCTCACCGAAATTGCAACAACAATCTAGGTTACAGTAAAGTGACATTAAATGATAAGTAAAATTAAATGACTCATTTTATTCCACATTTTATTTATCATATCATTCAGTTTCAACTAGGGTTGCAAATTCAATAGGGTCACGTAACATTACTCTAAATAAAAATGTTGTCATGAAAGAGTCACCCATAGGAATTAGCAATGAAAAAGGACATCTTCCATCTCAAAGTGAAATATTAATTTAATTAAATATTTTCTAATATCTATAAGTACCATTCACTTATGAAAAAATAAAATTTAAGAAAAGAAAATGAAACTCGCATAGAAGATAATGTTAAGAGTAAACTCTGCTTATATCTCTTTGTAACATGTCACAAATTATCGTAAATTTCGATAAGTTAACTCTACATTATAGCATGAATCCTGAAAAAGAAAACATATTCAACTCCAAATTTGTTGAAAATAAATTTGATTTTTAATTGTCGTAGTCATCTTCTAGATTCTTGTTATCCTCAAGTATATTGTGTAACAGAGAAATTCCGCAGTCCCATATTCTTCCTTTTTGTCTACTCTCGACAATGATAAATGGACAATTCAAATAAAAACGAAAAGTTAAAATTCTGATGAGAAATGCGTGTCAAATTAAAGATTTATACAAAGGAAGTGCCTTTACGGAAAGTGTGGCGCAAACCCGCCGCCACCACCGTCAATGCAACCTCCACCACCGCATCACCATCCCACAAAGAAAATGAATATGTTAAACTAAGCCATCCAAATTGGACATTAGGGTACTAAAGAGTGTTAAATTATGAATTCAAATTATTGTCATTGTACGGAGATCGTAAACAGATTGAAAATTTCGTTGATGATGGTTAAAAATATCAAACTTGTAATTTCGATTTTGTGCTAATCTTTCTTATAAATGAGGATTTGTCATAACAGTTTGGTATCATCATCAATAAGAGAGAAGGGTCAAAAAAAAAAGATAAAATATTCTATTTTTCTCTTATAATACTTCTTTCATCATAAATAATTATTTTAGCTAAGAACGAAAATATAATATCACGTTGAGACAAATTTATATAAGGCTTTGTCTGGCAAAACTAAAAATCAACTTTTCAGCCAAATTTTGACCGTTACTTCACTGTACGTGGGGCCCGCCGCTGAGAGGACTGGTCCATTATTACGGCTGAACGGTCAAATTGTGGCTTAAAATTCGGATGGAAATCTGGGGCAGACAGCCTCTNCAACACTGTATTAATCCCTTTTATCTGTTCTTCATGTTCCCCTTTATCATTTGGTAAATTATGTTTTATGTAAAATTTAATTTTCTTTTCATTTATTGAAATCCTTATAGATTTTTGTATTACAGAGAGAATTCACGTTCAGCCATGTCGTATATGAGAGGAGATTTACTATCAAAAACCCGAAAACTAGTCAAAGGGTTAGCCAAATCCGAACCTGTCTGGCTTAAAGCCATGGAAAAGTAAGTATTTATTGTTGTTGCTAATTCTTTACTATGGTCTTGTAATCTGTGCAAAACTATTAAGGTTATTATAGTTAATTTGTTACATTTATAAAATTCAGAGCGCCACCAGCTACATTTCCTCGTGCCGAGAATAAGCTTAAGCCCATAAGCTTGCCAGAGGATGTTTACATCAGTAAATTCTTTCAGAAGCACCCGGATTCAAAGCATGAAGATACTATCAAGTAATTTCTTTAATCTATTTTGCGTGTCCTTTTTAGTGTCATCTACAAAATGATTTTAAGTTTGAATTGTGCTGTGTTGTCCTTAATATTTTTTATTGTACTCTTGTTATATTAATGAACTATAAAAGGAAAACGGTACATATTTAATTTCGAGTGTAAAGCTATTGTTAGAAGCATAGTTTGAAAAAACGTAAATGGGTACCGAGGCGTTTTTTTGTAATGAGGCGAGGCGTAAGCCTCACCACAAACAAAACAGGTGCAATCTACCGAACAAAATAGGTGCAATCTGGTGACGATGCACTGAACAAGAAAAAAGCCAAGCAAAGTCTAGTGAAACAATTTTAAATTATAAGTCATTAAAAGAAGGCAGAAGCAAAGGAGAAAAAAGACTAGAAGCAGCACTTGAGAACCTCTTTTAAGCGAAGGATTGAAGATAAATTTTCTGGCTGCCGTTTAGTTTTGGGAAGATTTCTGACTGCCGTTTAATTCTGGCCATCTAGGAAGATTTCTTGTTGCCTTTTGGTATTCTAGATATTTTAATATTTTGTTTGGCCCAAAATGTCTTTTTAAATGGCTTTCTTGAAGAGGGCCTTTTCTAATTCCTTTTCAAAAACCTGAAAAAAAATACTTCAAATGAGGCGCACGCCTCATTTCTTTTGACTCGGATGTAGAGGCGTGCGCCTCATTTTTTTTGGCTCACAAATTGAGCCTCGAGGCGCAGAAGTTGCGCCTCACAGTGAGGCGGGAGTGCGCCTCATTTTTTTTGCCTCACGGATTGAGCCTCGAGGCACAGAAACTGCACCTCACAGTGAGGCGAGCCTCAACAGGGTTTTTTCATACCATGTTCATATCAACCATTTCTTCTAAAAGCTTAATCTATTAGAGACGAAAATTAATTATAGATTTAACAGTATCTTCGAAAATAAGCACGTGAAAGTGGAGGTAGTGATTGTGCGCTAGAGCTAGAGGATGACATTTAGAAATTATGAGAAAGTCACAAGCAAACAGAATAAATATTAATCAAAGAGCTAGCAACACAAGATAAAATTATTTCGCAAATTAACATGCATATCAAATATGCCACATTAATTAGAACTGATTCAAAAACCAAAATAAAAAATAAACCATGCCATACAAAAGCTACATGCATTATCCAATACTGTCATAAAAAGTTAGTCAACTATAAATGATTCTTAGCAAAACAGTTCTAAATAAAATTGAACATTCATTTTATGAAACCTATCTTGCTGCAGGCAAGTTTACTTGAAGAAAGACAGACGCAGAAATGCATACAAATAGAGAAAGGAGGGGAAGGAGCACGAGTAGTTTATTGTAGACTAAAAGCACATATTTTTCGGTGTCAAATTGGCCACTTAATTCCTACTCTGCAAGCAAAAATGCACAAGGAAAAAAACTCAAAGCATTACAATAGACCGAGATATCTTTTATCAATATAATCATCTAGCCTTATGATTTGAAAAAGGTGTACAATAGAAAGTACCAAATATCTAACCATAATATAATATAAAATAATTAGCAAGATTTGGTAATTCAAAAATAAAATACGTGCCCAGGAATGCATCGATGCAAACCAGCAAAAACTGAAGCTGAAACAATAAATCAACAAACGAGGAAGCTATGTGAAACTAGGGGTAGCTGGGCACTGTAAGGTTCTTTTGATGGCTAAAGCTGACTTCAACTTTAATGTGTATATAGTTATAGTTACCTTTATCTGCCTTATCTAGCAGAATTTCTTGCTTATGTAGATTATTAGTGATAAGACTAAAAGGAATAAAAGACTAAAATTACATTAATAAGATATAGAGGGTAGAAAAGCAGAATCTTTAATCCAACAAGTGAAATAACGATCAGAATCTTTAATATTGATAAAAGGAGTATGGATAGTTCCTAGAGTTAAAATACATCATTCAAGAGCTAGATGAATTTCTTGGGCAGATTTTTCAATCGAGTTTTTCCACTACTCGCAACCATTTCAATCTCAGTGCAACTAGAGCAAATAAAATGAATATAAACTTTATCATGTGTTAAACGCTTCAAAACCAACCATAATATCAGAGACCCCTTCGAGAAACTAAATTAAAAAAAATTATATAATTTTCATTAAGCTCCCACATTCAATGAGTGACGCAATCTGAATAGAAAATTTCACAAGAGGATGGGTAGGCCAAAAATAACATGGTATGTGATAGTTGTAGAAATCTTGTCGCTTCATATCTTTCCATAGATGTAGATCTAGCAATAAACTGTACGAGTGGAGGAAAAGGATTCATGTAGCCTACCCCAAATTTATTAGGAAAAGCCTGAGTTCGCCATTGTCGTTGTTGTGAGCTTCCACATTTTCAATAGCTAAGGTGATATGGTGTTTAAAGTCTAGCCTTGATAATTTTGCAACTATTATTAGCACATGAAGGACTTCTTATATGCATGGTTGTTAGCTAATTAGTGTTCAGACTTCTGAGTTTATCGTGTGTACGCGTTAGTCATGTATCCAGAAAAAATCTCATCCAACTACTGTTCCGAGTTCCCCAGGTGGAGCACACTTTAAACTTTTAACCACAAAATTTATCCTGAATTTCCAAAACAGTAGTGAAATTTTGAGAAGAATATAACAGTATGCAAAGGTCAATATAGCATGAAGTTAAATTACAGGCCACGGTTCGAAGGCTGCTACAACATTGAAACATAGATGTGGGTAAAATATTCAAATCTATTACTTAAACCAAATGGCTGACAAATTTAGACGCAGACTCCAGTATAAGAAAATGAATAAAGTTTACACTTTACAGATCACAAAGCAAAGAAAGGAGCATCTCAAAACCACAAAACTCATTATAATATAATAAACAAAGAGTAATACATTTCATAATATGGATGAATCATTCCTAGTTAACTGAAAATATAAAGCCCGCTTGCATACCTGTGATCAACCTCATAAAAGTCTGTCTTGCCATCAGTAGCAGGCCGAAGAGAAATTCCAGACAAAGATGTAGCACCATGAGCAGAAAACTTCACATAACCAACAACCTCAAGATCTTCCTCACCATCATCGCCAATATCCACAGGCATCCGTGCCCTCAACCTACCAGGATTACCCTTTAAAGGAATCTCATCAATATGCCATTTCAATTCTCTCTCGGACCTGTTCAAGACTGCTTTCGGTGATACTTTCAATAAAGATGGGTCTACAGGTAGTTTCAGGACAAATGTGACATCATTTAAGGGTGCTGGTAAATCTGGATTGGACACATACTGGATCATCACAGAAAGCAAAGTCCCACTGAGACGTTTGATAAGTCGCACCCTCAAAGGCAATGGAGTCTGTCGGGGTAACAAGCTATATTTGATAATTGGTATAGGTTCCTCTGAAGGTGCAGTCCTCACATGAAACAGACCATTTCCAAGGCTGCTCACTCGGGAGCTTTGCACGACAAACCTCTTAACGTCACTTGTACCTTCAACCTTAAATGAAAATTCTGTCTCTTTATCATCTGAAGAAGATTTTGGTGGCACAGTTCGCAAGTAAACCACACCCATTAACCCAACTCTAGCAAGCAAGGATTCCCAAAACTCGGTATTAATCTCTTCCACGATATACATCTCCGGACCCTTCATTTCAGTTTTCTTCACCAAAATATCTTCAATTTTATCCCCAGCACCTTTAGCCACAGTAGCTACAGGTGGCTCACTAGCCTCCAGCAATTCAAGCCCACCAAGCCCCTGGTCCTTCTTAACCTTCTTAGGCCCAACAAACTCCGAAGCATCCAATCCACCACCCCAAGCGTCATTAATACCCTCAAAATCCTCTGGCAACGTCGACCCATCAGTGCCAAACTCTATCCCACCATAATTCCCTTCAAACCCTTCTACACCTATATGTGTTGACTCAGTAGCTGCAGCCGGAGGCAACGAGGTCACCTCAAGCCCTGCCAGCGCCTTGCTCACATCAGAAACACCTGAATCCTTGTCCTTCTTAAACCCATCCATCAGCATTTCCTCTGGCTTATTTAGCCTATCACTGGCTGCAAATGGATCCTTCTCTCCCTCATCTTCCTCAACCTTATTCTGCTCCTTTTCCTCACTCTGCTGGAAAAGCCCTAGTGTCGCCGCAGCAACCTCATCCCCAGCCTCCAACGTCTCAGAAGGCAACTCAAATGAAGCCTTCGAGAACAACTCCACGCCCGCTTCATGATCCACAGCATTGGGCTCCACATTGGCCCAACTATCAGCCCCCCGAATCTTAGTCTCGGTGAGGACTGCAGATTGCACCATTTTTGCTATCCCATCCCCATGCATCGATGCCAGCATTGCTGCAAGCCTAATGTTACTAACACCCCGCAAAACAATGTCTAATGCCATGTAAATCTCCACATACTTTCTACCCAATTTTTCGGGGGTGACATCCACCCCACGACAGGCAGTTACAATCACACTAACAGCTTGATTAACTATATTAATGCATTCAAACACATTGTTGTTGAAATCATCAATGGTGGTAACAGCAAGCACATAAATAGAGTTAACAAGGCGGTAGACAACCCGATAACGTGACTCAACACCAACAATTACCTGACCAGACGAGGCCGCTAAAGGGTCATCACCAAGCGAGTCTGATGGACCTGTAGTGATTGAATCAGTGGTGCTGGAATTTGCGGCGGCGACGGTCGGGTGGTGGGTTTTGGAGGAGAAAGAGTGGCGGGTTTGGCGGAAGGAGGATGCCGCCATCAGAGCACGGGAAGGCGGAAACCATTCACGGGTTTGGACGAGGACGTCGGGCCCATTACTGGGTTGGAGTGAAAGAGCGAGACAGGACATCTGGGTTCGGTTGTTCTTTGTTTCAGATTCTCAGATCTGGGTGTTTTCCTTGGGCGGCGATATTTTGATTAGCAGATAGTGGATCGCAATTGTGTGTGAGTGATGCGTGGGTAGCGGGTAGGGGGTAGATTTCAGTATCGCTTCTAAGATCGGAGCAGAGTAGAGAACCTGGAGATTGATCAGTATACAATCTTTAAGGCACATGGTACAACCATTCGACTTCTCTCTTCTTACAGTTTTTACGTTAAAAAAGGAAAAGTAGCATCAGAGGTCCCCAAATGTTCTTGTATGTTGCATATTGGTCCCCATTCTTAAAAACAGAGCATTTCCAATTTTTAATCCTCAATCTTTCATCTTATTGGCACTTGGAACCTTCTTGGCAATTTTACCATTACCTCAAGGACACGTTTGGCAAGCCATATTAGACCTGATTGGTTACAGTTCATATAATCGGGATGACTTGCGCCAATTAACAAGATTGAGGCCATCCCACTAGAACATGTTGAAGAGAGAAAAAGACTCAAAATTAACATGATATGGTAGAATTGCACAAGACATAGATAAGTTCAGCAAATTTAGCAGTGAATAGAATGTTCGTATAATCAACTTCAAATTTATTGCAGTCTAATAGTCAAAGCACTTTGTAAACATCAAGTTGTAAAGCTCAACCCGGGTGCTAAATTATGGGATACAGCCACATGGAAAAGTTATATTATTCATCCAATTCGTAAATGGTCGACTAGGTCAAAGTATCCGATTGCATCGCATGGCATGAAACAAAAATGAACTTACTTCTTCACCTACAATTTCATGCGAAGAAGATGAGTGTAACACTGTTAATTTGCCAAGAGCAACAGTCAAACCATCAAAACTTACTGAAAATTCGGAGAAGAGAAAAATGAGTATATGAAAGACTCATCGGTTTTAAGCACACCAAATCATAGCTGTGCTACACTGTATGTTTGTGCAACTCCAATTCTAATAACTTGCGGCCAGTGTAACATGAAGTTAAAATTGAGGAGAAGATCCTCCTTTGTAAAGCTTTGAACTCCAATGCAAGCTTTACATCCCACTGGGGTGTTCCCCTACAAGATGAAAGAACATTTCTTCAAAATGTTCTTCAAGGATTGAAGATTGATCCTGTAATGTACAGCCAGTTGTTACCTGTCATCCAGTGTTGCTTCACCAAGAGCTTCCATCATACCTTCAAAGGTAGAGCAAAGGTCTCCAAGTACTTCTAGTTCAATTTCTAAGTTTTCCCGGGTCTGCAAATAGTCATATAGAGGAGTTTAGAAAGTTTACAGATGTATTAGGCAGATGGCCACTAGCCATTGAAACCAAAAAACTTTACAGACATTTGAAGAATAAGCATTAAAAAAATTACTTGAGTATTCGACTCCCATGTTGGAGTCCGAGCTCCGCGGAGATGATTCAATAAAGGTCGTGGCAACCCATAATTAAAGATCGCATGGTTCTTTGAGAACCAGGTTCCCCGAACCATGTGAGTGTTCCATTCACAAGCTGCCCCTCCGTCCTCACAATCTTCATCCTGTGGAACGTCAATATCTGTAACAGAAATCAGAAAGTAATTACTTGTAACATTAAAGGATACGAACCAATAAACAAAATGGAACTAAGAAAGATCCAGGGGCGGGTTGCACATCAAACTGATGTATATACATGCATGTAGAAGAACCTCCAAAATTATCAGGATTAAGTACACGAGAGGATAATATAGAGAAGTACCAAGTGGAATAACATCGTGGGGATTGTCTCCTTGAGTGAAGAAACCGTAGAAGGTTACCAAATGAGAACTAGAGAAGTTCCCATAACTAAGAAAGCATTGTTCTCCAGCATTGCATGGTCTTGACAACGGGAATTTTAAAGAATTTGTAGTAGAATCTATTCGACCATAGTGCATTATGTGTGGGCACATCTATCAAAGAGGGAAAAACAAATATGAGCGAAGCAACAAATTAGTTGAGAGGAAAAAATAAAAAAGACACTGACTTAACACGATGATAATGTCCGCCCTACCATATTAAACAGCTAGTGACGTGAAATTCTGTTTACGTCAGCAGTTAACTTAATTGAGAAATCTTTTCATTCCATTTCCTTTTTTTTTTCCCCAAAGGCATGCGGTACTAAGTTTAGACCTTTTCATCAGGTTTAGCAGATCATACTTGCTACTTTTTGCAAGAGCCTTATGAAATATTGCTGCTATAAATCACATAACACACATAACAAAAAAAGTTCATCAAATTAAGTGCAGACCGAGTGATTAAGAAAGCCAGCAACAGGAATTAAGCAGGTCCTCAGTTTTCCATCACTGAACATAACTTTCATGCTATTGGAGTACCAAAGCTCACAAGCCCATAAGAACTGCTCCCATGTATACAGCTCTCGTGGAAATACATCAGGATGGCAATCACATAATGCAGGAAATAACTCGTCATATTGGATCCGTAGATGCTGCAGCAAAATGGAGTTACATCAAACTCTGAATACGTAAAACCAAAAAATCACTTAAAAGGTGGTACTAAAAATCAAACCCATCCTGATATCTGTGTCAAAGTCTGGTCCTTTTTTTATTAAATTGCATCCTTCAAAGAGTTTCAACAGAACTACAGAAAACTACGATAAAATACTACCAATAGTCTTTGGAAGTGACACTGGAAAAATCATTTTATCTTTGAAAATTTTAATTCTAGAACATATGAATAGTAGGAAAAAGTGCTGCTTTACTTAAAGAATGCAATTTTATAACCTATTTGACTTTACCTTTTCTATCTTTTCTCATTCCTTTTCGCATCCGAATTTTACTTCTATTTAAAGACACACGCACAATGAAAGGCACTTCAGTAAAGCAGCTGATAAAATGTAAATTTCCATGACCCGCAAAATAATGACCTCTCTTGTTAGAATGTAAGATTTTCTATTTACTTATTCTTTAACTTTAGGCAAAAGTGTGAAAGATTGTTAGAATGTACGATTATCTATTTACTTATTCTTTAACTTTAGGCAAAGAATTGAAATCCTTCACCAATTCTTGTAGTTTTAATATATTGAATAGGGTTCACATGCCTAAATGTCCTTTTCTCGTCCGATCACAACATTGTGGCTCTTTATTTTAGTATAGCGTGTGCATATACATATTCAATTCTTTCTACTACATGGATTTTTACAAGCTACTCGTCTTTTTATCTTAAGTACCATACATTCTGTCCGAACCCATAATTTAGAATGAAATCAATCAGCAGAACAAAAATAGTGTACTTGCACCTTCTTAATGAATCAAAGATTTTTATCATATAACGCAATATGTCTTGAATGATACATGAAACAGATGAAATTCTTATGATTGAAAGAGTAATGCTATATAACCTCTTTGGCTTGAACAATCTCTTCTAACAACAAAGTTCCATCTAACGCCATGACAGCATCAACGCCAAAGCTCAACCCTGTGGTGTATACATAATCAAATAGCCACATTAATTTTGTTAGAATTTCATATAGCCATGTTTCAAAGAGCAAGGTTTACAACTTTACAGTACTTCAAGCATATTAGGCTAACGATGAAATAAATCAGTTAGTCTTTCAGCAGATTTGGAAAGACGTCTTTCTGGAACTCTAGTCACACTTGGATGAATTTTCTTACAGTTTATCTCAATAGTGGTAAACCATTGAAAGATATCTTGTGAACCCAAAGAATCCAAATCTACGACATGTGGAAATGCTAGCTCTCTGTTTCTTTTCTAAACTCACCCTCAATTTCTAAATGGGGTGCTATTCAGTTCACGTGGTTTTCAACTTAATTATGGGAGTGTTTGACACCCATTTTAATAGGTTAAAAACTTTTGGAATAGTGATTGATGGGAGAATGTGTGGTGGAAAAATGATGAAAAGTTTTAGATTTGCGTATAATATTATTTTATTTGGAGATTGTGTGGTTGAAATGAAAAAAGAGAATGAGAATGAGAACAAGAATGGGTGCCAAACAGGGGCTATATTTCTTATCTAAATAAAAACCTCATTGAGACCAAAGAAGCTGCTCAACTGTCTTCTTGACTTATTTCAGCACACCGAACTACGAAATCGAAAAACCCTTATAATCCATTACTGGCTCTCCACTGTCGCCCATTGAATTCAAGCAACAATCTTCAAATTCTTCTGTGAGAGGGCTTTAGGCCTTATGGATACTAGCCAGATTGTTTCTCAACAAACAAGCTACAGTACAGCTTTTTTCCATTCACAAATGTCCCAACATTCTCCATGTATAACGATGTATGATGCATCTCTTGAATGTGAAATATGGGAATATTTGTGCATAGCCTCAACATATTTTTTGTTATATTTTCCTTGAGATAAATCTAAAACTCCAACTACATCTCCCCATGGGTTTAGAGTAATTACAAGGATTATCTTGTTAATTATTTCCTTTTAATCACTCTAGGAGGGTAGGTGTGTATTTAAGCTCCTGTAACCTAGTTAACCAATATACAGAAAAATTTAGTTTTTTGACTTCGCATAGAATCACGTCAAACCAAATTCTGCTTCTCCAAATAAAACTCATAGCACTTCTAAGCATCCATAATTTCACCTCAACCATTCCACTCTAAAGCCCATAAACTAGTAGAGTTAACCAGTTTAACCTAATATCTGCCCACCCCAATTGGTCTGTGATCGCGGGTTGACATCAATCATATCATAAAACTAATCAAAGATGTTAAGATAAGAAGAAAGGGAAATAGACAGTACGCAATCAGATAAGACATACCCGTGTTAAATTCTTCTGGCAATGTATCAAAATATAACTTATACTTGGAATCCTGGTTGTGTTTCTCCTTCATGCTCCACAATAGCAACATTGTCTCTGCAGAAATCCCATCAATTTGCTCCAAGACTGGGAACTACCTTGAATAAAATGTGATTAATCTCATGCACCATATTAAAAATGTAGAAATTTGGGTCTACAAATTGGAAAATATATGAAGTGGGTAGGCTCGTGAATACCTACTAGCTTAGTAAATGACCAAGAGGAAATGGAAAGGTAACATGATGAATTTAAAGAAGAAAAGGGGAAAAAAACAAGGAAGTGTGATTGGTCCCAAAAAAAAAAAATGCTATGGCAACTATAGAACATTGTCCACTTTTAACACAGCTCATCATCCTTCCTAGTTAGACTTAAATATTATCTCCTACATAACAGTAAATATCTCTACCTATGTCCTTGGAAAACCCAGAGGGACCAATATTGATCGAGGATTAACCATTATTGGTTCTATTAAATCCTATGCAAGTGCAAAACTCAGCCTACAAATCTCAAAAATCAACCTGTAGTCACCTGGATACTGCACATTTTGAAATTTTCATGAAGAAACAGTTGTTATTCAACATTAAAGGGCCCAAAATTATCAACATGTGATCCTCTTGCTCTTAGAACACTAAAATATGTAATATCTATATTTTTTTTTTATTCATGCATAATATTAAAGAGCTGATTTCGAAGAATAGAAAGTAGATACAAGAGAACTAAATTGTAAGTCTTTCATAAGCATAAAACAATATAAGATACCATGTCAGATTCATGTAAAAGGTCCTCAGAAATGATGACAGATAGAGGAATCTCCAGAGCAATATCTCCAACTTCTATGTCTTCTCTCGCTATTGCCCCTCTTCCAGCTCCTTCAACATCTAGATAAACCAAGAGAGGAAAATTTAAGAACTAAACATAATAAGATTTTCAAGGTTAACATTCTCACTTCTTCTTTCCGCATAACGTAGTAATTATAAGGAGCTTCTTACTGTTTCTAAAACTTGCTTCCCTAAATTTTATTGGGAAGAAATGAAGGGGGGTATTAAACAATTCTTACTTACGAGCTATATCTAATTTTGTCTTAACACCATTCTTCACACCCCATTCTAAGAGACACTTTTCGTTGTCACTGTTAGAATCTCTAAGAATTCTTGTCTCTTCACCAATTCTCTTTCCTAGTTCATGGATCCTATCAAGAGTCACATCCCGTAGATTTTGCAGTACATTTATCGTTGCATATTTGCCACTGGACAGCGCCTTGTCAATGACTTTGAGGATTGAATCTAGAGCTTCAAGCTCATTCCTCAGACCAGTAAAACCCCCTAGATCAATGGCATCTTCACTGAAATAAAGTTCTACCTGCAACATTGTAAATTCACCATCCAATGTTAGTTCTCATATGAATTATAACCCAATCTCAACAACTAGGAGGCGCAGGATTGGTCTAAATGCCGGCGGCCGGGGAAACCGTTGTCCACAATGTGTGTATGTGTGGGTACGTCCACTTATTTGAGCAATGTTATACATGCATATGCCCTATACATGTATGGTCAGGAAGATGAAATTCAAGAGATATTATTTATCTAGGGAGAAAATGAAATCAACAATGATAAATTGATAGTGAATCTGGACTTCGTAATTTCTAGTAATTATTAAACAGTAAAGATCAAATCTTAACAATAATAACTAGAAACTAACCAAGGCAGCCAACATGGTAGTAAGTCAAACTTCAACTCCAACAATTGTCCACGGTATCTATATTTTAACGTCACACGCATACATGCACTGTTATACATCCATATACAAATAAAGTTTTAGAGTTGTAAATATCAATTAATTTCTACTTTGTCATCTCTTTTTAGAAAGTTTTTTCTTTAACCCCATAGGGTTAAAATCTTTGCATATATATTTTGTTATCCATGTCATACACAAGAAGTTCACAAATTTGCTATGAGTTTGCAGATTTAGAAATGGAGATTACCTCGTCTAAGTTTATGATTCTTGCTCGTTGAATCATCATATCCAAGAAAGAGGTTAACTGATCAGGAGTAAAGGAGCTCCTAATGCTCATTGATCCTTCTGGATCAAAACCCATTACCTCTAGTATTCTCTAACAAAAAGTAAAAAGCGATATCAGATTATGCAACGAAGAAAAAATACAAAACCTTAAATGGATAATAGCTACTTCATCACAATTTTACAGCATAAATATATTTTTTCCATAGAATTCATAATCTTACCTTCTTTTTACCCAAGAAAGGGTCTCCTTTAGAAAGCTCAAGAACCAATTGAACATCGTTGTCAATCTCAGAAGTATCCCCTATCATATTCTGTACAAATAATCAAATATAGGATTAATTTGCTCATTTACTATGCAGTTTCTAATTGATATGTGAAGAATCAACTAATCAATATACCAATATTTAAAACCTAAGACAAGACAGACATGAACGTTTTCTCACCCAGAAAATGATAAATAAACAAGAAATCAAACTTAATTAAAGAAAATAAAAACCCCACCAAAATATGGAATCACTTTTCACTTCAACTCTTCTAAACATTCAAGACCCCTATTTACATATATAAGTATATATAAATTGGCTTGTAAAGTTTTGGGTTACCTTGTCGATTTTCACGGACGAAAGAACTAAAAGAGAGCGGGAAGAAAGTGTCAAGCGGCTTGAAGAGAAGTGAGATATTGAACTCCTTAGGAATATGTTTGGCTAAGCTCAGTGGTGGCAAACAAGCCCAGCCGGCTCGGCTCGTGGCTCGTTATAAAACGAGCCGGGCTTCTGCTCGGCTCGTTGCTCGTGGGCGAGCTCGGCTCGGTCCACGAGCTCGTACTGTAGCGAGCCCGAGCCGAACGGGCTCGCCTTTTTTGAATTTTTTTTAACTACCCTTCTTTTAAAAAAATAAAATATAAAATAAAATTAGACAAGCTGCTCGTCAAAAACGAGCCAAGCAGGCTCGGCTCGCTTACCGAGTCGGCCTGCTCGGCTCGTGCTCAAGGTCGTTTTTTGACGAGCCCGAGCGGCTCTTGGTCCGCTACAGTACGAGCCAAGTCGACGAGCCGCTCGACTCGATTGCCACCACTAGCTAAGCTCGACCATTTTTAAGTGAAAATAAATGGGGACGTTCTTTTCGTATTTCAGTTTTATATTTTTAGTTTTAAATTCATTTTGTATTTTGTATTTTATATTTTAAGTGTCCATTTTGAAATTGTTGAAAACGTGTTTTTTTTTTGCCATTTTTAAAAATTATTTTGAAAAATAAAAAATATCGAAATGCATTTACTTTCTCCCACGCTTTTTCTCACTCGTCTCTCTTCTTCCCTCCTCTCTATAACCTGCCGGAACCCCATCCTCCAGCCACCGTCTTCATCGCGGACCACCACCGGTCAATTGCACACCTCCGGGCGACTCAAAAACAACCCTCAATTTAGTCCAAACCACAATTAATCGAAATTAGGGTCGCGATCCCGTTTCGCGCAGTTCGGAGAATCTATGATTCCGACGACGTCCATTCAACCCATGGTCGCAGACCACATGGGTCATCTTCCTCTCCCTCGGCGCACCTAACCCAACCATAGGTCAAGCCCAATTTCAACCACAACTCGCTGATTTTATGGGTGAACTTAGGGTTAAAAACTGAAAATTTGTGGTGGTGGTGGCTGTGGTTGGTGATGATGATGGTGGTGACACCGTGTGGTGGCGATTTTTGTGCTGGTGGCTGAGGTTGGTGATCTGGCAATTGTGTGGTGGTGGTTCTGGCGACGGTGGTGGTTCTGGCGACGGTGGTGGTTGGGGTGATTTTGGAGCGACGGCAGCGTTTGGTGGTGTTTTTGCATGCGACAATAGTGGTGGTTGGGGGTAATAGTAACTGAAAACAACGAAAACGCGTTTTGAAAATTCTAGCCAAGTTATAATTGAAAATACCCAAAACAAAAAATAACGACAAATTTGTCGTTTTGGGTTTTCTTTGTAAATTTTAAACTTGTTTTCAAAAAAGTAATTTCGAAAATAGGAAAGAGAATGCGTTTTCACTATTTTGAAAAATCGAAAACAGAAAACAATTTGAAAACGGCAAAAAGAACATGCCCTAATATTTTGACAATCAAAATTGAGAGTTGCTATAACTTTTACATTTAAATCAAATTTTTAATCAATTTTAACAAAAATTAATAAAGTGTGTAATTGAAAAGTTGTAATTCCTTTAAAATATGTTAATAAAAATCCCATTAAATTTTTATATTTGATTGAAAAGTTGATTTTAATTTAAGATCATATCACAGCTCACATGTGTCGATACAAGTGGCTCCATACATGACACATACACTATACGTCATCAGCTCTTACTTGGGTAGAAGTACTAGAAGCTTCATTTTGTTTTGTTGTGCTGTACATTCTGTTATGTTGTACACATTCCATTATTTCATTCAGTTATGCTGTTGGAGACTTGTATATATATACATAGCATTTGTTTGTAAAATTCAATTGAATACAAAGCAAAGGCAATTTCCATTTCTTACATGGTATCAGAGCACTATGGTTAATCTTTCGTGTATTTTCCCTTTCATTACCATGGAAGATCAATCAACAGATTCTCCTACTGAATTTAATTCTGCAGCTCCAAAATCAAAACACAATTCTATTTTCCTCAATTTCACTGACCCAAATAATCCTTACCAGGTTGATCATGGGGATAACACCACTGTTATACTTGTTACTGATTTATTAACCGCCGACAATTATGTCACTTGGTCACGAGTTATGCGTCAAGCTCTTCGAGCGAGAAACAAGCTTGGTTTTATCGACAGAAACCTTAATAAGCCAACTGATCCTGCAAATCCTTTATTCGATGCCTGGGAAAGATGCAACGACATGGTTGTATCCTGGATACAGAATTCTGTCAGCACTGCAGTAAAGTCCAATGTTGCCTTTGTAGATGATGCACATGAAGTGTGGAATGAGCTTCAACTTCGCTTCACTCAGCAAAATGGGCCTCGAATTTTCCAATTGAAAAGAAATCTAGCAAGCATGCGACAAGAGAATGAATCTGTGAGTATTTATTTTGGAAAACTCAAAACTCTGTGGGATGAACTTGTTGTCTACGATCCCATACTAGCTTGTACCTGTGGAAAATTGACTATTATTATTGAGAGATATCAAAGGAATGATGTCATTCAATTTCTCATGGGTTTCAATGATAGATATGCAAATGCTAGAGACCAGATTATGCTCCTTGACCCAATTCCCCACATTAACAAGGTTTTTTTCCCTTATTCAAGGGCATGAGCAGCAACATAACATCGTTTCTGCCTTCCCAAATCCTGAGATTATGGCCTTGATCACCAAAACCACCTATTCTAATTACAAACCTGCTAATAAACCTCTTTTGAATGGGAGAAAGGAGAGGCCATATTGTAGTCATTGCAAAATACAAGGACACACTCTTAATAATTGTTTCAAGATAGGCAATGCACAAGCTCCTTTTTGCACTTATTGCAGCCAGACTGGACATACTATTGACAAGTGTTTTAAGATACACAGCTATCCTCCAGGTCATAAGCTGTTCAAAGGAAAGGACACCAGACCCTGTGCTGTACGTAGGAAATTTGTGAGGACAAAATGAGCTTCACTAAGGAACAATATTAGCAACTAATGTCTTTACTTCAGCACAAAGATCTCTTCATTACTGGTCCCTCTTTAAATCATACACATGTCATTCATCAACCTGCTTCTTCTGAACCTAAAGCTTCCAAAATTTCTAGTATGCCTCAATGTTTTTCCTCTTTTAGTCATAAATCTCCATCATTCACTAATAAACCTTGGATAATTGACTCAAGTGCTACAGATCACATGATCTGCAGCACTTCTCACTTTTCTTCCATGATTTCAGAAGTTTCATATTCGGTTAAATTACCTAATGGTGCTTATCCGTCACTCATTTGGATAATGTGCAAGTGACCAAAAGCATTCTCCTTACAAATATCTTATGTGTACCAACATTCTCATTCAATTTACTTTCTGTTAAACGACTCACAGATTCCCTAACTTGTTGCTTGATTTTCTTGTCCAATTGTTGTTTCATCCAGGACCTTTCCTCCTAGACCCCGATTGGGATAGGTGAGCTCAAGAATGGCCTCTATCATCTCATGACAGTGGAAGTATCTCAAAATGCCTTTACAACAACTTTGTTTCTCTAAATTTTTCAAGTCCATTTGTTTCTACTTCGGTTGCAGCTAGTAGTCATGTTCCTGACCTTTGGCATTGTCGCCTTGGTCATCTTTCAAATTCTAGACTAGTTTTAATTGATGATCCTACTGTAAAAGACAATTTCAATGCTAATGCAAATGTTCCTTGTTCTATTTGTCCTATTGCTAAGCAACAAATTAAAGCTCCAATTCCCTCTTAGCCACCATAAATCACTTGTCATATTTGACTTGATATATTGTGATCTTTGGGGGCCTTGCTCAACCACTGCCTACGATGAAACCCGATACTTCTTGACCATAGTAGATGATTTTTCACGAACTATTTATGTTTATCTTATCCAAACTAAGTCTGACACTAGAAGGTGTCTTGAATCCTTTTACAATCTTATTGAAACTCAATTTGCCACTAAAATCAAAGCCTTTCGAAGTGACAATGGAATTGAATTCCAAATGACTGAATTTTTTTAACAAAAAGGGCATTATCTGCCAAAGATCATGTGTGGAGACTCCTCAACAAAATGGAATAGTTGAAAGGAAACACCAACATATTCTAAATGTGGCTAGGTCTTTACGTTTCCAATCTGGTTTGCCTCTTTATTTTTAGAATAATTGCGTCCTTATTGTTGTGTGCCTTATTAATAGAACTCCTACACATCTACTTGACAATAAATCACCATATGAAGTCTTATTTTCTGTTAAACCTACTTACACTCATCTTCAAATATTTGGATGCCTTTGCTATGCCACTACCATCTTCCATGGATGCAAGAAGTTTGATCCTAGAGGTAGAAAATGCATCTTTTTAGGCTATCCTTATGGAGTTAAATGTTACAAGCTTCTCGATCTTACCACCAACGCTACTTTTGTCTCTAAAAATGTTATTTTTCATAAGCATGTTTTTCCCTTTCTTTCTCCCAAACTCATCAATTCTCCTCTAGAAAACACCAGTTCTTCACTTCCACTAGTCTTCACCTATCCCTTTCCTGACCTCCTTGAATATCTACAAGCCCCAACATCTCAACTTTCACCTCCAATCCCATCACCTGATAGTATTGTCTCTTCCCCTTCACCTCAACCCAATTTGCGCAAGTCCATTGGAACAAGGACTGCTCCTGGTTACTTACGGAATTTCCACTGTCAACAAGCTACCTTGACTCCCACGTCTCACTCACAGGTTCAGGGATCTCCTAATCATTCCATATGCTCATTCCTTTTACATCATTATTTGTCATATGATCATTTCTCTCCTCCATTTGAGGCTTTATCTTCTTCCATCTTTGTTATTATTGAACATACCACCTATGCCCAAGCAGTGAAAGATCCTGACTGGTGCAATGCTATGGAGGCTAAATTAAATGCCTTAGAACAAAACAACACTTGGAATCTCATTAATTTACCTCCTGGAACGATGCCGGGTGCCCATTGAATGCAAATATGTTTACAAGGTGAAAAGGAATTCAAATGGCAGTGTGGAATGATTAAAAGCCCGGTTAGTGGCCAAGAGTTACACTTAACAAGAAGGCACTGATTACACTGAAACTTTCTCACTAGTAGCAAAGATGGTGACTATCAGGTGCCTTCTTTCCATTGTAGCTATTCGAGGTTGGCATTTACACCAATTCGATGTCAATGATGCTTTCCTCCATGGTGATTTAAAGGAGGACATTTACATGATGAAACCGCCTGGATATACTAAGGGAGAACTTGATCGGGTTTGCAAGCTCTTTAAGAGCATATATGGTTTGAATAGGCGTCTAGACAATGCTATGCCAAGTTTACATCATGCTTACTGGCTTTTGGCTTTTGGTTTTTCTCAGTCCAAATTCGATTATAGTCTTTTCATCAAGTCATCTTATAGCTCTTTTACAGAAATTTTGGTGTATATTGATGACATACTTGTGGCTAGCGATTCCCAGGACACAATTGTTGATGTGAAAACTTTCTTGAATGATCAATTCAAAATCAAAGACCTGGGCCCTCTTCGTTTTTTTCTTGGCTTTGAAGTAGCTCATTCTCCTCATGGTATCTACATTTGTCATCGCAAGTATGCCTTTGACATACTTGGTGATTCAGGAGCTTTAGGCTCCAAACCTGTTCATGTTCCCATTGATCAAAATTTGAAACTCAGTAAAGAGAGTGGCATTGTATTGAAGGATGCTTCTATTTAATGGAGGCTGATCGGGAGGCTATTATATCTGACTATAACTCATCCTGACATTTGCTATGCTGTTAATACTATCAGTCAATTTATGTCCAGTCCTACTTCTGATCATTTAACTACAGCCTATAAGATTCTGCGATACATCAAAGCAGCTCCTAGACAATGCATTCTCTTTTCTGCTAACTCTTCTCTTCAACTCCTGGTTTATTGTGATTCGGATTGGGCCTCTTGTCCTGATACTCGGTGATCAATATCTGGCTATTGTGTAATGTTAGAGAACTCCCTTATCTCTTAGAAGTCGAAGAAATAATCTATGGTTTCTCGTTCCTCCGCTGAAGCTGAGTATAGAGATATGGCAGCAACATGCTCGAAACCCACTTGGCTCAGATTTCTGCTTACAGATGATTCCACATCCCTAGGCTGCCCAACTTTTCTGCGATAACCAAGCAGCTCTTCATATAGCTGTCAACCCCGTGTTTGATGAACAAACGAAACATATCGAGTTAGATTGTCATCTAATTCGAGACAAAATCCTTGATGGTTTTGTTTCTACTTCCCACGTCTCTACTCAAAACTTGCAGATCTTCTCACCAAGGCTTTACCTTCTTCCCTCCTTAATTCCCATTTACTCAAGATGGGGGTAGTTAATCTCTATTCTCCATCTTGCGGGGTGTATCACAGCTCACAGGTGCTAATACAAATGGCTCCATATATGACACATACACTATACGTCATCAGTTCTTACCTGGCTAGGAGTACTAGAAGCTTCATTTTGTTTTGTTGTGTTGTACATTCTGTTATGTTGTACGCATTCCACTATTCCATTTAGTTATGTTGTTGGAGACTTGTGTGTGTGTGTGTGTGTGTGTATATATATATATACACACACACACACACAGAGCACTTGTTTATAAAATTCAATTGATTCAAATTAATAAAGAACAAAAGCAATTTCCTTTTCTTAAAGATCACGTGATGCCGTTCGGACATGTTAGTGTACATACAC